GTCTCGGAAAGTAGACGATGACACCCATTATAGGGAACCTTATGCATCGGAGGTTGGGAAACAAGCGGGCCAAAGACTGAGCGAAATTATAGTCAGCTCCTCGTAGACTCAAGGAGGAACATGCAGACTTTAAGGCAGGCTTAGGGTTTAAGACAGTTAAGAGAGTTGGGAATCTTTGTGGTCCGCATAACAAGTCGAAATCAACCAGAAGGCCTTGTTATCCACAGCCAGTTATAGATGCGTCGTTACAAAAACTCATTTTGGTCGCACAAAATATAGGTGCCAAAGCACTCTGAATTCTGTGACTAATGCCGTGTACAATAAACTGTACTCTCTCTCTTGTTTTCCTCACACACAGCCGGGTCCACACACAAACCATACACACTTCACACGCATAGTCAGGTTTGACCAACGATCCAACAGCCAATTTACTCCGTTTAAGTTCGGGCGTTTTAGTTCAGTCAAACATTTCGACGAAACACTCAAGCGAGACACTTCGTAGCGTCCCAAGTAGATGAAAGTTGAAGTGTACAGCTTCATGAGCAATGGACATGCTCGGTTACCTCGCTCGGCACTACGAGGGGACAATTTCCTCTTTCTCTGTGTATAAAACGTCTAGTGTAATTCTACAACGACAATAAAACGACCTAAACGTCTATCTATCTACCGACACCTACCTACCACCTACCTACCTCCTACCTACTATCTAACTCTATCTTCTCTCCTCTTCTATCTATCTATCTACTATCTACTATCTATCTATACTATCATACTACTATCTATTCTATCTATCTATCTATCTATCTATCTATCTTCTATTCTTATATAAAGAAAACAACAAATTTAAGAACCACGTTCTATATAAGTCATAAGTTAATACGAAAAAAAAATAGTCGTTAATGTCTGGGTACCAGAAGAGGGCACAAGAGGACTAAGAGTCGCACTGTGTCGGCGGGAGGACGACCAGGACCTAGTCGGAAGTCAGAGAGAGACAAGAAACATGAACGTGTTTCCTCGGCTCGGGGTTTCGCGTTGCTGTTACACTCCTCTTGTGTTCCTCTATTGTGATCGTGTGTGTGTGTGTGTGTGGTGTAGTGTGTGTGTGTGTGTGTTGTGTGTGTGTGTGTGTGGTAGTGTCTCGAGACAATTCATGTCTGCGGTGTTGACGTGATGTTACGTTAAATTTGTCTGTGTGTGAATATAAAATAAATTGGCCCTTGTGACCTTACGTGTACAAGGTTTATGTTGTAGTTTTCTGGGACACCACAAAACTACTAGTAATTGTAGGTTTGACTGGTAATGAAATTTTGGAGGTTATGCGTATATAAACACACTGACCTTTCCAACTAAAGGTTGTATATAACTACAAAAAGGTATAGGTGCATATATATATAAAAAAAATTGAAAAATAATTATCAAATAAAGTCTTATAAAACCTGACAAATAAAGATCACAAATTAAATAAAATACATGTATCGTAAAAAAATAGACGACTTTGCGTTTTTAAGGGTTTAACCCTAGTTATTTCCATAGGTAGCGACGGTAGGCAGATAGTAGATAGGGTAGGTAGGTAGGTAGGTAGATAGATAGATAGATGATAATTAGGAGATAGATAAGATAGATAGACAGCAGTAGTACGGTAGGTAGGTAGATAATAGATACGATAGATAGATAGATAGATAGACAGGACAGATAGGTAGGGAGGTAGGTAGATAGATATTATAGTATAGATAGATAGAATAGATAGGACAGACAGGGATAGGGTAGAGGTAGGTAGGTAGATAGATAGTAGTAGATAGATAGATAGATAGCATAGATAATAATAGATAGATAGTAGTTACAGGACAGATAGGTAGGTAGGTAGGTAGGTAGTAAGATAGATATAAGATAGATGTAGGATGTAAGACAGACAGATAGGTAGGTAGGTGGGAATAGATACGATTAGATAGATAGATAGATGCAGATCCTTGTTTATTATTAAAGGTCCCCTATTATACTATTATAGGTCTCAGATACAGAACCAGTCTCTGATTGGCTGAAACACCAAACAGATCAATGCAGCATTACCCATATTCCCCTCTGTTTCAGCAAATGAAGCCGCTGACGTCACTTCTTCTTCTTCTGCTTTGGGTTTACTGGCAGGCCGCAAACAACTTCACGGCATATACTGCCACCCGAAGTCCCCGGTCGAAAGTCCCCGGCCGAAAGTCCCCAGAGTTTCGGCTTCAGTAGAAGCTGCTGGGACTCCCAGAAGCTGCTTCTGAAGCCTTCCGAGTAAATCACCAGAACGCCGACACCTCCTCATCTCCACCACTCCCATGTTTTATTTTGTGTTGCCATAAGTTATTCTCTCTCCGTTGTTGCGCTGGGCTAATGCTAATGCTAATCATGCTAATGCCAGCAAATACAATGGCGGCTTCACAAAAAGTTTCCGAGTTTTACGGGGCGTGGTTTGCAATTTGCCCAGCCAATCAGAAATTGGTACTTTTTTC